TTGTCACCCAGGCTGGAGTGCAGTGGTGCAATCTTGGCTCACTGCAACCTCCGCCTCCTGAGTTCAAATGATTCTCCTGCATCAGCCTCCTGAATAGCTAGAATTACAGTCACGTGCCACCATGCCTGGCTAATTTTTTGTATTTTTAGTAGAGATGGAGTTTCACCTCATCTGGTCTCGACCTCCTGACCTCAGGTGATCGACCTGCCTCGTCCTCCCAAAGTGCTGGAATTACAGGTGTGAGCCACTGCATCTGGCTGAGAATGTTCTTTAACCATTGTGTGCTAGTTCCTTTTAGACACTGTGTAGAAATGGGGAACGTTTTGACCAAATCTTCTCTGGAACCACATGAGAACTGGGGTGTGTCCCCATCACAGAATATGTCTCTCATTTTGCTAAGTAGCCTTATCTGGGAGACGGCAGATGTCTGGAAGAAACCTGAAGCATTTGGACAAAGTTAAGTTCTAAAAATGACGTGGAAGTCTTAGAGGTGGCCATGTGGAGGGGAGTTTATGTAACATAGTCTTGTAAGGCTACAAATAGCTTTAAAAGGAAGCACAGCTCAGGGCCACCTGCTTGGAATAAACTACTTCAGGGCAATTCCCAGAATCTTACAGTACCTGCTGTGGACTGAATTGTGTCTTCCCCTAAATTCACGTGTTGAAACCCTCACTCAATGTGAGTGTACTTAGAGATAGGGCTTTCCAGGGGTAATGAAGGTTAGATGAGGTTATCAGGGTGGGATCCTAACCTAAGAGGATTGGTGGCCTTATGAGAAGAGGAGACAGAGCACTCCCTCCTGAGCAACCTTGGAAGATTAGCAAAGGCTTGGGAGCGAAGGTGAATGATGCTGGTGGGTCCAGAGCACACCGAGGAGAGGCCGTGTGAGGACACAATGAGACGGTGGCATCTGAAAGCCGGAAAGAGCCCTCCTAGGAATTAGATTTGCTGACACCCTGGTCTTGGACCTCCTGGCCTCCAGAAATCGGAGAGAATGAATTTCTTTTGTTTAAGCCATCCAGCCTAGATCATTTTGTTATGGTAGCTTTAGAAGACAGATTTAGGGCCCCAATTTGAAAGAATCTTAGAAGTCATACCACGCAACTATTTTATTTTATGAATGTGCTTCCGGATTCAAGACTGGAAGCAAGAACTGGTCGTAAGACAGGAAGAACCCCACAATTCGTCCCTGCTTGTAGATGAACCTATGTGCGCAGAGTTGGAACCCAATGCTCCTTTAAAGTATGGTATAGGACTAAGTTTTGCACTTGGAAAGACTGAGCAGTCTGGAGGCCTTAAACACCCCCCTAGAAGGGGTAAGACACTCTGCTAATTACTAAGACACCAAGAGGTAGAAGACCTCTGCTATTTGTTAAATGACTCGCCAACCATTCAGGCAACAGATATTTCCTGAGCACTTATTATGTGCCAAGTACTGAACTTGATTCCAGGGATGTAGAAAGAAACTGTCCAGGAAAGGAGACAGGTATATAGATACATGACTAATACAGTGTCCTAAGTACTAGATTCAAATATGTCATATCATATTCTATATAGGACAAGCTCTGGAGTAATGGTAGGAAGATTAGGAAAGGCTAATCTGTGGGCAAAGGTGGGCAGACAGTGGTTCTGGTAGATTTCTGGAGCACATTCCAGGAGAACCACGTGCACGCCCACTGCCCTGTTCTAAAACACCATCTCTTTCGTACCTGGATTACTGACTGCAACATTGTCTCACTGTCGCCTATACCTGCTAGTGTCTCCGTCGAATATATTTGCCACAAAAGAGTCATGATCTTTTTAGACCGTGAATCTGGATCATTATCACTTCCCCTGCCTAAAACTTTTCAGAGGTTTCTCATGCTGTCAGGATGTTTAGTAGCATGTAATAAGATAAAATATCAAAAGTACATAGTCCTTCTTCCGTACCTGCTGTCCATCGATATGCTTACGTATACACTTGGTTCTCATTATTTGTGGATCCTGCATCTGTGACTTCACGGACTTACTAACGTTAAGTTGTAACCCCCAAATCAATACTCATGGTGCATGTGTGGCCATTCCTAGAGTGTTCAGAGTGGCAAAACATTCTGAGTCATTAGATGCTTACATTTCTAGCTGAGCTCAAACAAGATGACACTGTATCATAGTGTAAACGGGTGTCTTCTCGTGGCCCCACTGTTTGCATTTTGTGTTTTTTGTTGGTGATGTCACTGTTAAAAATGGTGCTGACGTGTTGTCTAGTGGTCCTAGACGCAAGAAAGCTGTGATGTGCCTTACGGAGAAAATGTGTGTGTTAGATACACTTCGTTCAGAAATGAGTCATAGTGCTGTTAGCCTTGAGCTCAATGTTAATGACTTAACAATACCTATGTGAATAAAGTGCTTTTACAACCGAAACACACAGAAAACAAGGTTACATATTGGTCAGCGGGTAAAAATATTATGACCAGAGGCTTGTAGGAACCTAACCTCGTATTTCCCCTGAGAGCAATGGGGCAGTTTTCACTAACTCATTGTTTGAAGTGACTTTATAGAACATAACTACAGTGAATTACGATTATTGGCTATAGTAACTCACTTAAAATGAATAAGAGCCTCATATAATAATAGACCAAGTCTTTTCTATCACACACACAGCTTTCTGATGCATCGTCCCCTCTTTCTTTCTCTGGCCACACTGGCCTTCTTTCAAGTCTTTAAAATTTATGTTTTGTTCTTGATCTCAAGGACCTTGTCATCGACTATTTCCTTTGCCTTCTCGCCCCACCCCATCTAAACCAGCCAGTTTAAACCCCTGTTTTTCCACTTCATGTCACCTTTCACTTTACATTCTTAGTGCAACTTATGGTTCTATCTAATTCATTTTTTGGTGTCTTTCCTGCCTTCTCAACTATTGAACCCATGAGGGTGCAGCCTGCGAGCCACCTGCAAATCTCAACTCTGCTTGTTTGCTCTTAGGCAGAGGAGGATGAGCATATGAGGAAGACTGGGGAGGATGCTCAGAGAGGGAGGACGGAGTTGGGCTTTATTATCAAGAAGCAGGTGGGGAGAGACTCTTCCATCAAAGAGTGTCAGTTGCCTCAGAGATAAAGAAAGGATGGAACGGTGCACCTGGATTTCACCTCCAGGAGGTTGGGGTGAGAAATGCAGGCAGGTTGTAGAGCGGTGGAGGTGCATGCTGGGGTGCGGCAGGCTGAGGAATGCATGGGGCATATGAAAGGGAGGAGAGAGAACTCTCAGGGAGCTTGGCTGGGCTGGAGAAGGTGAAGGCAATAGTCACAGTGGACAAGGATATGGGTTACAGGATGGTTCTGTAGAGGGTGAAAGATAAATGCATTTTATAAGCCAAGAAGGAGAAAGATAGTTGAAAGAAGTTGAGAATAATAGAAAGCATGGAGGAAAATCTAGGATTGAGTCAAGAACACTAGTGAAGGGATGTACCTTAGAAAGACGTAGAGATCCACACTTTTCCCTTGGAGCCTAGAGGGAAAGAGGCAAGGGGGATTTTAAGTGGAGCCATTTCTAGATGCAGGATGGGAAGCTGGAGGACTGTAAGCTGAGCGTCTTGATGCGGGAGGCAAGTTGCCTGCTGGAAGGGCTAGAAGTGAAAGTTCCAAGTGACAAGGTTTGGAATGGTGTGTGGTGGAGAGGAAGCGCAACCACTGAAAGACAGCCGAGCAGTGCTGAGGGCTGGTCTCAGCTGGCCACCGAAAATCGGAATGATGCCAATACGCGTAGTTCCGGCATTCTTTCCCCCTCTCGGCAGTGCCCAGCAATCCAGGTGAAGGCCCATAGAACACGGGTTGCTACTCTGGTCCCAGGTTGAGGTATAAGGCAACAGGGCTTGGGTCTTGAGAGTGCCGAAAAGCATGGCTGAGGCCATGGACCTGGGGCCGGCACTTGATGGGCAGGGCTGCGTGGCCAAGAGGTTGGCTAAGGAAGAAGGAAGAGTCCTGCAGGGTGAGGATCCCAATGAGGTTGGGGGGTGGGGGCGGGTAAAAAGCAAGACCAGTGACCTGGCATCCTTGAGCATGAGGAGTTTGGAGCCACGAGAGATGGTGGTACTGGCCCATTAGGGTCTACAATGAATGACACAATTCAGGCAAGAGGAAATGTAGTGGAAGTGAGGATGACAAGAGCACAGAAAGTCTGAAAGGCTTTGCGCCCATGGTACTGAATGATCTGGGGCAGCTGCAGAGTCCCCACATGAGGGCAACAGTAGGGAAAAGGACAGAGTAGGCCAATGACAGGAACCTCAAAGGAAGATAAGGTTTGCAGATAGGAGGCAGCTTGATCATCTAGAATCTGGAAAGGGGAGCCGGAATAATGCATGCACTACTTTCAGGAGACAGAGTTGGGGGCGGGGATTAGGCTGGTTCCATTGGAGTAAAATACATAGAAGATTATATTGCAAGTTCGGCTAAAGATGGAAATGGTACAGGGCTTGGGGAAGAGACTCAGAGAGAAATAAAGAGAAGGAAGGTCTGTATTCACAGAACCTGGGTCCTAAACAGGAGAGCATACTGGCATCATCTGGAGGGCTAGTCATTATCCCAGTCTCTGATTTAGTGGGTCTTGGACGGGGCCTGAAAAACTGAATTTCTATTGCGTTCCCAGGTGAGGCTGGTGCCATAAGTCTTGGGACCACACACAGAGAACCACTGTGCTGAGGCATGGACATTACTGGAGAAGCTCGAAATTGCCTGGGGCCAGGGGATAGATTAACTGGAAATCTTTCAGTGTGGAGAATTGGTTGAACCATGCATTATCACATATACCTTAGAATCGTATCTCCGAAAAACAAACATAAAAAGGAAACAATTCTACTCAAACCTGAGTAAGCCAGAGAGAAAGAGACTTTGAGGACTGCTCTGTCTACTGGCTTTAAGGTTTTAGGTAACAAAAACTGTAGCAGAAGACTGAATGATAGAAAATTTAATGGTAAGTGGAGATAATAGGATTTTCCCACCAAAGCATGGAAAGATAAAATAGCTTACCTGTTGTGCAGATTGTCTGTTATGTTTCTCTAGAAGTTTAACTTCTCGTCCTGCAACAACAAAAAAGTTGAAAATTGAGATCTGTAGGTCGCCTCCTTTTTACAGCCACATAATATCATAAGTGTGACAGCAGGAAGCGTTTCCTAAGGGCCATTGGGCAATAATGTGGGGAAAGAGTTCCTGGCTTGGAACAACTTGCCCAGGAAGGCAAACGGTTTGACATTTATCAGCCTGAGGTTTACAGTCCAGCTCCTGACACTCAGCAATCAATTCACAGTTAACCACAATTTCAGTCTATAAAATAATATTGTAGTGAGATTTAAATGGCACAACATATAAAGTGTTGATCACACACTGGAAGTGTTGGAGTTGTCCAATAACCCAAAGCTATCTACTATGGTCTGAATGTTTGTGCCCCTGCAAATTCATATGTTGAAACCAATCCCCAGTGTGATAGTATTAGGAGGTGTGATGGTATTAGGAGATGGAGCCAGCCATGCAAAGAAAAGCTCTCATTAAACCACTGGGCTATTAAAAAACCTGAAGTGGTTCTGTATTGCCTACTGAATCTTAAATGTCCTCAGCTATGCATTCAAGGCCTCCTACAATATGACATGCATGGCCTTCCTAGTTTATCTGGGAAACTCTGGCTGCTTTCTATTTCCAGCCAAATTAGACTTTTCACTATTCTTTAATGCCAATGCTTCTATGCCTTTGCATATATTGCACATATTATTTCCCCCAGTTGGTATAGCTCTTTACCAATCAATACTTTACAAAATTCTATTCATCCTTTGAAACTCAGTTCATATACCACTTTTACCAGGAAGCCTTAAAAAAATTAAAAAATAAAGGTAATTACTCTATTTAAAATATTTCTAAAGGATCTTTAAGCTCTTTGTATTAGTCCATTTTCATACTGCTATGAAGAAATACCTGAGACTGGGTAATTTATAAAGAAAAAGAGGTTTAATGGACTCACAGTTCCACATGGCTGGGGAGGTCTCACCATCATGGTGGATGGTGAAGGAGAAGCAAAGGCACATCTTACATGGTGGCAGGCAAGAGAGCATGTGCAGGGGAACTGTGCTTTATAAAACCATCAGATCCCCGAGACTTATTCACTATCATGAGAACACCACAGGAAAAACCTGCCCCTATGATTCAATTACCTCCCACTGGGTCCCCCTCACAACATGTAGGGATTATGGTAGCTACAATTCAAAATGAGATTTGGTTGGGGACATAGCCAAACCATATCACTCTATCAAGGTGGACAGTTCTGACCACTTTCTGCCTTGGATTAGAGTACATTTATTTATACAATGTTCCCTCCATCAGACTATAAACCCTCAGTAGAGAAATGGTTTCATCAGTATTTATCTGTACATTGTATCTCCTGACACAGAGACTTGCATGTAGCTGGTACCTTGTACGTTTTAAAAAAATTTGACTTAAAAATATCATTGGCAATTTAAAGGTGCCTAATACCAATGTATAATATTAGAACACCACAATGTTCACATTTTATCATTTTGAAGAGGTATATATATATTCATTTATTTTTTAATATATCTGGAATTGGAATGTATCTCACAATCATTGGCACATCATGGTTACATTGGCAGCATTATTTTCTATCTTTGTGTTACATAAGATAATGGTACATGTTACAATCAATGACATCTAATATTTAATAAAACATAGCATTTAATCCTATGTTATAGTTCATTTCAGCAATATATTATGTAAAAACCTTATAAACAATACCCTATATTGAACAGATGTCTACTCTGTGCACAGTTACTCAAAGAAGTCACTCTAAGATGAAACTAACATGATCTAGGGATGAAGTAAGAATTTTATGAGTTCCAAGAACTATAAAGATCAGGTATCAAAATAGCAATAACCATGGAATCAGATGCATCAAAGAAGTTCTAATTTTTCCCAGAATGACTTTTTGAAATAATATATCTTTTCAAAAATAAATATTGTTTGGGTATACTGCTGGTACCTGGAAAACATATGTTTCCACATATGGAAACAAGTATAAATAATTCATTTGTTAAGCAAGCTAGCACTGGCATGACACTGGCTTGTACACAGGGAAGACCTGGTGCCTGGTACAGCCAATCAGCACTAAGCACTGTGGGAGCTTGGGAGAAGTAGTAACCCCACTGCAGCAAAGCTGCCAAGAAAGGCTTTATTGAAAAATGAGGCCATGAGAGATGGGTAGAAATTAGTTAGGCAGAGAGGACAGCTTTAGCAAAAGCAAAAAAGTAGAAAAGAACAGGACTTGTATGAAAGACAATGGAGAGAACTATGTTGGATTTTGGGGTCACAAGATGGATATGACGTATGTGGCCAGGTTACTGGGGCCCTTGAAAGTAGGTCCAGAAGACCAAATATGACATGATTGGCAAACCTAAGTAGGTTCTGAAGTGGTAAATGACAGGATGAAAGCAATATATTAGAAGGCATGACCTACCAGTTGTAAGCAGAGAAAATAGAAAGGGTTGGGTACAGAAAGACTTGCTAAGAGTTTACCCTTTGAATTTAATGATGAGATAAAAAGAGCCTGGTATGTGGTGGCATCAAAGGGAATCCAGAGGAAGGAGCAAATTTGGAAGTGATTTTTTTCAAGATTTTTTGGATTTTTGAGTTAGATTAATTTCTACTGCCCTGGGTTTCTCTTAGCACATTGGTTTATACGTTTTTTTACACATAGTATCATACAGAAGTTACATAGCCTCACTAGCTCATTCCTTGTGCATAAAATGACAATGATAGTAGTACCTTTTTCAGACAGTAGTCAGGTTTAAGTGAAATAACACAGTATGGTATGGAGCACACTAGTTGGTACAAAGTACAATTTCTTTTTCTTTGGTGGGGGTTAGAGTCTCACTTTGTTGCCCAGGAGGGAGTGCAGTGGTGTGATCTTGGCTCATCACAACCTCCGCCTCCTGGGTTCAAGCTATTCTCCTGCCTCAGCCTCTCAAGTAGCTGAGACTGCAGGTGTGTGCCACCATGACCAGCTAATTTTTGTATTTTTTTCCTTTGTCTTTTTTTCCTTTTTGCTCTGCTTTGTCCACGTTGAAATTTTTTGTATTTTTTTCAGTAGAGATGCGGTTTCACTGTGTTGGCCAGGCTGGTCTTGAACTCCTGACCTTCTGATCTGCCTGCCTTGACCTCCCAAAGTGCTGGGATTACAAGCATGAGCCACTGTGCCTGGCACAAAGTACAATTTCAACAGTGTTGGCTGTTTCTTGATTCATCACTGCTATCGTCATTATCCCCCTCTTCCTCACCACCTATTAGTTTTCAGTTTTTCTCTTGCCACTACAGTGGAAGTTCCTTGAGTCTAAGGATCTATCTCATTATCTCTATTTCTTCAAAAAGAAATGCAAAGTAGGAGTTTTGTAAATATGGACCACATTTTGAGGGAAAAAATTCCAGATTTCCATGGAAGAAGGAATTTGTATGACAAAAGAAGGAATTATTAGAATTATTCTTATTTTTGGAGGCTGAGAGAACAGAAGAATGGTGGCATGAATGGGGCAGTTGGCAGGAGGACAAGGTGTAGTGTTTCACAGATCCTGAAGTCAGCAGTTAATCTACTGGGCTGAAATGATGGACGGGAAGATGACAACAGAAAGGTGGTGGACAGGACGAATGCATCCAACTTCCTTCCATTGAAACACAGGCAGAAACCCAAAGGGAGAGCAACAGAGGAGGTAAAAACAGAAAGTGAAGTCACTGACCTCATAAATCAGCAACCTGACAAAGAGTTGACTCAATTTAGATGGTAGAATCATTAAGTTCCCAAGGAAAGTGAGAGTGAATTATGGAGGACTGAAATAAGAATAATTTGGAAGGTGTTTAAGAAGTTAGTTTACTAAATTCCTTCCTGTACTCCTTGGGTGGTTTCTGCTTTCCACCTCAACCAGAGAACACAGGTTGAGTGTCAGGAAAGGGTGAAACAGGGTTTTGGGACTGGAAACAACAGTAGAGGACACACAGTGGAGGGCAGGGGTTGCATACCAAAAACCGGGGATTCAGTGACCCTGAGAACAGAGAAACAGAGAATGTTGGGGTATGTGGTGGCATCAAAGGGAATCCAGAGGAAGGAGCAAATTTGCAGCCTGTTCCCCTCCTTGGTTCCATGGGAATGCCTGGAGGCCACCCTCTAGTTGTCCTGCAGACATCCAACAAAAGTCTCTACCATAAAGATAGAGATCAAAAGCAAGCAACCAATCAACAAAACGCACTTGGAGGAAACAGAGAAAGAAGAAAACCCAAAACAACAAACAGACAAAAAGCCAACCCCCAAACCAGACCCCAAATCATGGACAATAACATCTTGAACATGTTACTTGCACCCCAAAACAGAAAGCTATGCATTTTTTTAAAAAAAATAGAGAATAGGCTGGGCGTGGTGGCCCATACCTGTAATCCCAGCACTTTGGGAGGGTGAGATGGGCAGATCACGAGGTCAGGAGATCGAGACCATCCTGGCTAACATAGTGAAACCCTGTTTCTGCTAAAAATAACAAAAAATGGCTGGGTGTGTTGGCACGTGCCTGTAATCCCAGCTACTCGAGAGGCTGAGGCAGGAAAATCACTTGAATGAAGGAGTTGGAGGTTGCGGTGAGCCAAGATTGTGCCATTGCACTCCAGCCTGGTGATAGAGCAAGACTCCATTTCAAAAAAAAAAAAAAAAAAAAAAAAAAAAAAAATCAGAGAACAAAAAAAAAGCTCCTTGAAATGGAAACAAAACAGCAAAAATAAACAGTTCAATAGAGAATCTAGAAGAAAAAGGTGAGGAAATCTTACACAAATTAGCAAAAGAGATAAGTCATTTAAAATAGAATTAAAAAGATAAAAGATAAATTAGAAGACTAATCCAGGAGGTCCAGTATCCAAATAATAAGAGTTCCAGGAAAAGAAAACAAACAAAAGGAAAGGAATTCATCACAAAATAATTTGAGAAAATTTTAAATAATTGAAGAACACGAGTTTCTAGATTGAAAGGACTCACTAACTGCCCAAT